CCTGCAGTTAGTGTTCATGAAACGTTTTGAAACTGAGTAAAGAGCTAACCTTCTACGGTGCATCTGCAGCCAGGTGACTTCCGTTGTGCTGGCACAGAAAACCACCTGCCGCATAAACGCTACATAACCATCACACAGTCTCAACGCAGCCCTCTGCCCAGGTGGAGTAAAACGGGGCTGAGTGACACGATGCAACAGGCTCTCCATCTCAAAACAGATCCACTGGCAAGACTGAATGGTAATAGCTAGAGTTAGGGGTGCATGAAGAAATTAAGAATTTATTTTTGTCAGTCTTGCTGTGGGAGTCAGTGGATTGAAGACAGACATCTGCGTGGTCCTGCACTTAATGCGTCCTGTCCAGGATGCAGGCTGCAGTTACCTTTTGTACACAAAATATTTGTTACTACGTGTTAGACAGCTGTTTCTGATAGCGTTAGAGAAACTGAAAAAACACGTGGTGTTTTCATAATCTACTGTGTAAGGAAGTGTTATAGTTCATACTAAATCTAAAATTACAACAAAACTTTACATTTTACAGAACAGAACAAACGGTCATTGGATGCAGTGGTTTCCATGGTGACTGCCTTACTCTTACTAAAATCATTGAAGCCAGATTAAAGGTAGCAACTATCTTATTGTATTTAGAAACTTATATTCTTAGTATCACATTTGAGACCAATAACATGATATGTTTTAAATATAATTTTTGCTGGTTTTCTTCAAGTGTTTGTATCATAACTATGGCTGTATTGCTGGTGAAAGATCAGGCAGGGGAAATTGACGCTGTGTTCTTACTAGGTGTAACATCACAAATTTAAAGAATGGAAGAGCTCGAGAGGATAATGTTAATGAGGCAACATCTATTCTTTGCAATACTTTGGAGAATTGTTAATTTTTGGCTTGTAAGAAGGCTTTACTTTTAGACCAGTGTGTTTTCAGTAATCATGCTAGTTAATAATCTTGCTTAGCGTCAGATGCTTCTGTAGTGAGGTTACAGAAAAAGTAATTCTGATGGAGTGTAAAATTTAGTGTTTGACTTTCTTCTTGGACATGCGGTACCATTTGCAGATGTACAAGCATTCCAATAACAAGACCATGACTACTGGGGCTATTGCAGCAATGCTGTCTACAATTCTGTATTCTCGACGTTTCTTTCCGTACTACGTTTACAACATAATTGGTGGACTTGATGAAGAAGGTAAGACTTTAAACAAAAAAGAAGAAAAGAGGGGCTAAATTTCTGGAGGTGAATAGCTATCCTTTTACATCTTGGGTGTACTGATGGAATAACGAAGTTTGTGTTTCTATTCCTAACACCTACTTTTAGGCATTACAGTACTTAACACGGGTCAAATGCATATTATGCATCTGACTTGTTTCCTAGTTTCTGCTGCTAACTTGATCTTCCATTTCTGAAGGTCTGAAAGTCTAAAAACTGTGTTATAATTATTTAATTACAAGTGAAATCCACTAACGTTGCTTACCTCTCATACTTTACTCTAGACTGGAACACTTTATAACAGCTTTGCTGGAATTCTTAATTGTGTCTTTAAGGGAGATGTTAGGAGTAAACTTGCATGTAAAATAACTCTGGCCTGTCAGTGTGGCAGAGGTTATTAAATATGAAGGTTTACTCCAGAGACAGGTTTCCACAAAGAGATTTTTAAATGTTAACTAATCTCTAATGAAAATCATGACTTCTACATGGAAGCTGTAGTTTAAAGTATAGCCCTTCCAGGACTTAGTGGGCTCTTGTGCAATGATTTGGTTGGGTTGCTAAAATACTGTGTTCTGTGGCTTTGAGCAGGAGCTCAGAGGTGGTCTTGTTTGGATAATTTCAACCATTCCCCACAGTTTGTTGTTACCATTAAGTTATACTGCTTTCCCGGTCTTGCTAAGACATGTCTACGATATGTGAAGTCTGGAAAGGGATTAGTCTGCCCTGCGTAATGGTAAATCTCAGATTATGAGGGTGCTGTAGCAGTTGATAAGAACAAGAGTTCAGGTTTGCGTGCATGGGCTTAATTTGGGTGCAGCAAGATTGATTTGCTCTGATTTAGTGTTACTTTCTGGATCTCTGCTAGCTTTCTCGGGGCTGCTCAGCTACCTGTGCTGTGCTGCCAAGTGCATGGCCAGTTTGTTAACTCAGCTGCAGCCTGTCTGAACAGAAAGGACGAGCTTGGCCAGGTGCTGCATTTTGACTGGTTTGTCCTCATCAGATGCTGATGCTTCAGAGGTACAGTGTGTCTGCATCTCTGATGCTGGCACAAGCTAATAAGCTTTGCACAACCTGGCCTGACTCCAGAGGGAAATGCGTAAGCGACCAGAGCATCATCCCTGGTGCCGGGAAGGCGATGCAGAGGCATCCAAGCACTCTCTCTCTGGAGGTAGTTCAAGAACTGTATTGTTCAAGAATGGTGGCTAAACGGCCTCTGTGCTGCCTTTAGAACCAGCAGAGCTCTTTGTGCAGCACTGCACTCTAGCACATTCTTCTGCTTTGATTATTCTGCATCAGCACTTTTTCTGTGGTAAGTACTGTAGAAAAGTCTGTTAGAGCATGGTTATCGCTTAAATATTGAAAATAACCTTGCATATAGTACCAGGTCACAACCATAGTGAGCCTACTGTATGTACAGAGCATTGTCTGAACATGCTGCAGTATTATTTGGTAAAGGTTTGCTGGGTTCTCTGGTACTCCAGAGACTGCTTACAGAGAGAGCTAGTTTTTGATGTAAATGTTTGTCTGTACTGAGAATCTTTCTGGATTGTGGTTACATACTACTTTTTTTTTTTTTTTCCTTCAGGGAAGGGAGCGGTATATAGCTTTGATCCAGTGGGCTCATACCAGAGAGATTCTTTCAAAGCAGGTGGATCAGCGAGTGCCATGCTGCAGCCCTTGCTTGATAACCAGGTAAAATAGTTCTCTTTTTGGTTTGTTTTGGTTTTTTTTTCTTCTTTTTTTTTTTTAATGATCTCAGTAAACACTTGTGACATTCAAATTAACGTAGCTTGACTTTTGGGGAACATTACTTTTGAGAGAAGTTTTAAATGTATTATAGGTAGGACTGTTAATCCATACATTTATAAATTGTGTGGCTCTACCTTCTCAGGAGAAATCAAAGTTTTGCTTTAGAATCTGTTCAGGTTGTTAATATGCTACAAACAGTGGACTGCCTGTTTAAAGTACAGGTAAATGCTTTAATTGGGGAATTATGTTTCCCATAGAAGCTGTTTGGGTTTCTTTTTCTCCCCCCCCCCCCCCCC